TATCTATATTATTATTTTTTATTTTAATTTTAAATAGCTTGCTTCATGTGTCAATCCCAGTTCCCTCTCCCTCCCCTCCTCCCCCACCCCCCACCATCCCCCCAGCCTCCCACCCTATTGCCACTTCCTTCCACAGAGGGGATATCTAGAGTCTGTCATTTCACTCAGGGCAGGGTCCAGGCACTCCCCTAAGAGTCCAGGCTGAGAGGACATCCCTCTTTGTGTTATGGACACATGAAGTCTGTTTGTATGCCACAGATAAACACTACTGATCCACTGCCCAGGGCCTCATAGTTTTCCCAGGCCTCCTCACTGACTGTCACACTCAGGAAGTCTGGATCAGTCCCATGCTGGCCTCCCAGCTGTCGGTCTGGGGTCCAAGAGCTGCCCCCTGTTCAGATCAGGTGTCTCTGCTGGTTTGCCAGCCCATTCTTTGCCAAGTTTTTCATCACTCCTCTCTCTCTGTCACTGGGTTCCATGGATTCAGTTCAGTGTTTAGCTGAGGGTGTTTGCCTCTGCTTCTATCAGTCACTGGATGAAGGCTCCAGGATGGTTATAGACATCAAGTTCATTATCAGGAATGGGCATTCAAGGTGGTCTCTCCACTATTGCTTAGCTTGCCAGTTGGTATCATCCCTTTAGATCACTAGAGGTCTCACTATTGTCAGATCTGTCTTCTAACCTGTGATTCCCTCTTCCCCTTATTCTACCCCCCACTTAACCTTCCTGTTCCTCCATGACCTACTCTCTCTTCCTCTTCTCCCCCTCTCTTCCCAGCTCCCACTCCCTGCCACCCCTCGCTATGTTCCTCATATGTTCAGAAGTTCTTGCCTCATTCCTCTTCTCTGGGATACCATGCATATCTCTCTTAGGTTCTTTCCTGTTTCCCAAACTCTCTGTCAGTGGAAGTGCAGAGTGGCACTATCCTGATCCATGTCTAAAATCCATATATGAGTGGGTACATACCATGTTTGTCTTTTTGTGAGTGGGTTACCTCACTCAGGATGGTTTCATCTAGTGCCATCCATTTACCTGCAAATTTCTAGATTCTATTGTTTTTTTTCTGCTGAGTAATACTCCATTGTGTAAATGTACCCCATTTTCTCTATCCACTCTTCAGTTGAGGGGCATCTAGGTTCCTTCCAGGTTCTGGTTATTACAAATAATGCTCCAATGTTTGTATTGTGTGGCATAAATTTCCCTGTAATTTTAAGTATACTCTTTCCCCAACAATTTTAATAGTTGTCTTTTTCTCTGTATCAAGTTCAAAGTGTGTTCAAGTCTTAGAAACTCAATACTTTTATCATGCTGTAACAAAGAAGAATAAGAAAAATAACTAAATTATTTATATTTGGGAGTACGTGATTAAGCTGTTCATCAGCAACATAATTTATGCAGAATTCCAGAGAATCAAATATGGGTTCAAAAACCACTAAACTACTAATATCACATGATTCAAATCTAAAATTACACAGTAAAATAATGTCCAGTTACTAAATAGTTTGTTATTAACTTTTAAAAATATATCACCTTCTCCCTCACATGGGAGAGTATGTTTCAATGCCTCAGAAAATATGTGAAGACAAAGGTAGTGGTGAAATTCTATATTGTGGGATTTTCTTCCACACAGGTTTGTCTGAGGACAAACTGATGGGCCAATGGAATTCATACTATCTTTACATATTCAACCCACCATTCTCAAATAATAATCCTAAGTGATATGTTTCTAACATTTAATACACTTGCCTATCATCTTGGATTCTGTAGAAGCACTGAGTTTGAATGAGTAGCTCTTCTTGTACTCTTACATGAACACAAAGATGATCTTACTGTCCTTCTTGTTGGATTGCACCTAAGAACAATTACAGATGTTACCACTAAAACACAGGTTTGTGAACTTGTGAAGTAAAAGTAATCATTATCTCAGATAGGACATTGTTCATAGTTTGCTAGGACCCCACAGGGGAAAGCATAGTAAACAATTGTTCAGCACTACATTAGTGAACTCCATCTCATAGTGATGCACTTGTGTTGAAATGGTGTGCTATTGGGAGAAAATTACATAATGAGCAATTGTAATGAACCCATCTATATGAAAGCAGCCATATGGTGACCATGAAACAAGCGTGTGCACAGTGAAACCTTGGGAGACAGAGAAAAGAAGAATGTTATCATACCTGGAAAACTCTCCTGCTCCACACTGGAAAGTCATGTGGATTGACAGCTTGTCATCAGCTTATTTTCCTGAATTTACCCAGCCCTGAACTAGGACATTTGACTAGTTTGGATTTCTCTTTAAACCTATCTCTATTAAGATATCTCTTTTCTTGTTCTCTTTCTCTATTCTTCCCTGGCCTTGATCTTCCTGATCCCTCATCCTTCTCCCCCTCCTCCTACTTACCTCCCTTTCCTCTTCTCCAGGTGTTGATATATGTCTCTCTTAGGGTCTTCCATGCTTCCTAGCTTCTCTGGGGTCAACAGCATATTTTTCAAACACTATAAAATATCTGCATAAGAAATTTTGAAGGAAAAATAAAAAGAAAGCAAAAGGTAATGTTTATATATTTATTTTTTATATTCCAGCTTCTTTTTATAGTTTGGGGAAAACAATCTTTGAATGGCTACTGGCTAAAAATTCCAGGAAAAAATGTTACAAATAACACCGTTGTATAAGAGGATGATAAAATTTTTTTTCAGGGTCAGGATAGGTCAGAAAAGACAACACAGAAATAAAAACAAAAGGGAAGGATGAGAGTTGAACTGATATAAAAAATTAGTGCAGGAAGAACAGTTGGAGACATTAGGAAAGGTTGTGTTTGAGTTATTTGGATGCTATGGGACATCAGTCTAGGAACATAATATATCACTGACTCACAAGAATGTACTCAAAGGTTGCTACATCCTACCGCAGGGACATTTGTTCAACTATAATACATTGTTTGTTTTTTGTTTTGTTTTTACACACAGAGTTCCTTGTGCAATAGCCCTAGCTGTTCTGGAATTAGTTCTATAGACCAAGCCTGCCTTGAACTCACAGACACTTGCCTGCCTCTGCCTCCTCAATACTGGAAATAATGACATGTACCACCATGGCCCAGCTGCTCAACTATACTTAATTCAGCTTTATTCATAATATTCAGGAATTGGAAACAGCTGGAGGTCTCTAAGCTGAAGAGTAGATAAAGAAAATTTAAACAAGCAAGTATTTCTTAGCTGTTTAAAACAATGACATGTAATTTGCATCCTGAGTTAGGTAACCTATACCTAGAAAGACGAATATCGTATACATTCACTTATAAGTGAGCAATAGCTCTGTTCAGTAAGTGATAATCAAGATACAATTCACAGACCCAGAGAGGCTATGTTAAGAGTAGGGCTATATAGGGAAGCAGGGATCTCCCTGTTAAGGGGAAATAGAATAGATTCTTCAGGTGGACTGATGCAGGTGGACATCAGAATGTGAGGAGTGAGTTGCAGGGGAATTGGACAGCATTTTGGTAACAGTGTAGAAACCTAGTGCAGTGGAAAATACCTGGAATCTATGACCCTGGTGGGAACTTCTAGTAATGGATGATTCAAAGTCTGAACTGGCCAACTTTTGTAGTCATGCAAAGCTCTGGTAATGGGACTGAGTTACACTTGGCTGAGCTGTTGGTTGTGGACATCTTGTGCAGATCCTATACAACCAAGGCTGATGTTACCTGAGAGGTTAGCTCTCTGAAAAGTAACAGAGAGGCCCAATTGCCAGAGAAAACATCCATGCATAATATTGACCAATCACAGGTCAACTGGTGCTGACTTACAGCCTTCACCTTTAAACTCCAGTCTCTTAGCATATGAAAGAACTCTGCAGGCTACAAAAAGAGACACTAACCTAGCAACAAATCTTCCACCTACAATCTGTCCTGCCTGCAAGACATGTGGTGAAGAACTTGTGGGAGCAGACAACTTGTGCTTGGTTTTAGTTCAGGCCCATCCCACCTGAGGGAGCCTGTGCCCTGGAGAGCCAGGAACTAGGACTGTATAGCCCAGAGTCTTAGGAAGAAACAAATTGGCAAAAAAGCCAATGAAATGACTCCTAATGATATTCTGCTGTTGTCATATATCAGAGCCTTGTCCAGTTATCTTCATAAAACCTTCCTCTAGCAGCAGATGAGAGCAGGTGCAGAGACTTACAGTAAGAAATTATCCAGAGAGAATATCTAAAATGGAGGTGTCCATTGGGTCCCTACCCTTCAAGATTAGGAAGCCCCGAGGAAGAGGTCCAGAAAGATTGTAGAAGTCATAGGGGATGGAGGATACCAGGAGAACATGACCCACCATGTCAATTAAGTAGGGCACACATGGGCTCAATGGAGACTTAAATTGCAAGCATGGGGGATGCATGAGTGTGTACCAGGTCCTCTGCATATATGTTAGGACTGTTAGCTGGGTGGTTTCTTTTTTAGGATTCCTAACAGTGGGATGGGTGTATTTATGATTCTTTTGCCTGGTTTTAAGACTCCTTTATTCCTACTGGTTGGCTTTTCCAGCCTCCATATGAGGGTTTTGGCCTTGTATTATTGTAACTTTTTTGGTTGCACTTAGATATCATCTTTTGGAAGCCTGTTATTTTCTGAAGAGGAAACCTAGGGATAGTGGACCTGAGAGAGTAGAGAGATGGTAGGAGTTAGGATGAGTGGAGGAAGAGAGAAATGTGGGTCAGATATATTAAATGAGAAAATAATCTATTTTCAATAATAATGATTGTAAAGAATGGAAATCTGATAGAACAGTGGCTCTTGTCTAATGATTTTTTTCTATGTTCACACATGGAAGACAGAAGATGGTACCACTGAGGCACCCTTCCTTAACTGGAAAACTGTGCAAAATTCAAGTTAGCAAATGAAAACATTATGCAGTTGGTTCTTGTATGTGAGTTCCACTGTGGGGATATATTTTGTGACATTAATATCAATATATTTACAAGAAAAATTTAAGTAAAAATGTTATTATTGCCACTATAAGGACATTTTTTTCTTGCAAAGAACACTTATCAGGGCTTCTTTCATATCTCTGTTCCTCAAGCTATAGATGAAGGGATTCAGCATGGGAGTCACCACTGTATACATCATGGCCATGACAGTCTCCTTCACAGTAGAGTTATTAGTTGATGGACATAGGTAGAGACCAATAATTGTCCCATAGAACAGGGAGACCACAGACAGGTGGGAGCCACAAGTGGAGAAGACCTTGTAGACAACCTGAGCAGAAGAAACCCTTAGGATGGAGGAGACAATTTGTACATAGGAAACAACAATGAGAAAGAATGGGATGACAATAACAAGTCCTCCCAAGATAAATATCATTAGTTCATTAATATAAATGTCAGAGCATGCCAACTTGAGCAGGGCAGATATGTCACAGAAAAACTGGGGGACCACATTGTCCTCACAGAATGACAATCTTGCAAGGAGTAAGGTGTGTAACATGGAATACAGTACAGTAAGTGCCCAGGACAGCACTACCAGATATACACAGAGCCTGGGGTTCATTATACTTGTGTAATGAAGTGGGTAACAGATGGCCACATAGCGGTCATAGGCCATGATCACAAGAAGGAAACTCTCCATATCTCCAAAAACCATTAAAAAGTACATTTGTGTCAGGCAGCCTGCATAGGGGATGGATGGGTCATGTCTCTGCATGCTGTCTAACAATTTGGGCATTGTGACAGAGGAGAAGCAGAGGTCAGAGAAGGACAAGTTGCTGAGAAACAAGTACATGGGTGTGTGGAGATGGGAGTCCAGTAGAATGAGGATGATGATAAGGAGATTTCCCAAGACGGTAGTGAGGTACATGACCAGGAACAGGACATAGAACAGGTGCTGGTGATCTGGTGGGATGTGCAGGCCCAGGAGGAGAAACTGGGAGACGACAGTTTGGTTGTTCATTACCATTCTTCATCTCCAGTATCCTAATGAGAAAAAAGCAGGGTCCCTTTAAATTCAAAATGATAAACAATGGGTCTGACAGACATTGCAGTAGTTATAATCTCAAACTCCAAATATGTGTGATCATTACAATCATCAATGATTTTTTCTCAAACTTATCTAAGCAGGTTTTTGTCTCCTATCCTTTCCTAGACAGATGTATGTTTCCTCTACTGAAATATAAAATAGACTAATGCTTCTCTCTCCTGATGTTTGCTCAATGTTGTTTATAATTTGTTCGGGTGTAATTTGCTCTATGTTATTTTGTATAATTGATGTTCTTGAAGTATTTAGACAATCATATTACATAAATTAGAAGAAGAACACGTACACTTCAATGTCTTATATTGCCATTTCAAGTCCATTCACCCATGTCCCTGTAACATACAGGCTACTTCTCCATTGTTCACTAATCATCTTCCCTCCATTGCATGTATGACAGCCATTAGAAATTCAAAAGCTCCAAGTGAAATTCATGTTTTCACTGTTCTGTCTCCCAAAACATTCCTCGATCTTTAACTTTCCTGTCCCCCATAGTATTGCTAAGGAAGTTAAGGCTTGACTCAGAACTCTTTGAATTTCGATGCTTCAATTTTTCTTTCCTTGAAATGCTGTCATACATTATATAGACTCTTCAGTTTATTATATGTATATTTCATCCATTCTTTTCTGTGAGACCACATCTTGTCTTTACTAGAATACAAAAGCAGACTTTGTTCATGTCTATGTTCTTATACCTCTTCAACATTCTCTTCTCCTTCAACCTGCATCACTTACAATGTGGCATTCTAAGAAAGGAGTTCCATTATCTATTTTCTGATTCATTCTTCATAGTATCACTGTTTCTCTGATGATATTAACAAAGCTCCTGCCAAGGTCACAGATGCTATTGCATTATCTCACACATGCAAATGGTATATCCCCATACGGTCCATAGTGACGTTTGCTTTTCTCTCTTCATCAATGTTTGGGTTAAAACTCTTCACCTCTGAAATTTCAGAGTTTCTTCTCTACTTTCCTATCACTCCCTCTCCTCTGCTTCTTTTTCATATGCTTCATCCTCACTCATGTGTAAGGAATAGTGCTTATCACATAGCTAAATTTACTGTCTCTCTCCATAAGTAAGGCCTTTGGCCATGTTTTATAGTATCCTATATTTATCCCATACACTTAACACTTTGATCACTGCCTTGAGATACCTCACCCTCGATTGTAAGCTATGTTGAGGAAGGGTTCATACGGCCTCTTTCTGTTTGTTTATGTATAATCATTCCTAATCTCCAACCAGGTCCAGTACCTGTCATGATGTTTGAATCTAACCAGTGAAGGTTTATTACCTGCTACTCAGACTAATGCAGATTTCTTCAACTTCGGTGTTAGAAAGATTCCCATTTAAACAAAAAGATTTGACCAATTAGCACTAAATTTTATACTTTATAATACGAGTTTGTGATTTAATGTTGCATTCCTGCAGTGTTAGGGTTAATCATTTTTATTCCTCCTCAGTAATACTGATTTTCACATCATTCCCATACTTCAATCCACTAAATGTCATTGATACAGATGCAGAAGTCAGGATGAGAAACTTTATGAATAATAAAACAGTAACAATTTAGCTTGGAATCTTCACTTGAGTTATTCCTTAGATGTCTATACTGTGTGTGATGGTTAAATTATTTATCAGGTGGGTTAAGCCTGATAGAAATTTTGGACCAATACTAGATACTATGGAGATACTCATTTTTTGAGACAGGGTTTATTGGTGTAACTATGGGGATATTCTATATATGCCTTTTAATCTGTAGACTTTGAGTAAAGTAACTAGCACTTCATAACTTGATGAGATTTATGCAATTCGATGAAGTACTTATAGGAAAAGACAGTTCACTACAGGAAACGTCTGCATTTTCTGCCTAAGATATAACATGTAACCTTCAATATTTTAAATTCTTCCAATATTCTAGAAAGTTCTTGAAATGTTCTTATCATCTCTCACACTGGGCAGTCTGTATTCTAAGTCACATGCAGGGGTGCCTGAGTACACAGACACTGACACACATAGAGACACACAGACACACATAAAACCACATGTGTTATAATATCATTCTATAAAACACTCACTAATGAATCTATCACTTGTCTCAAATCTGACCATCAAGAGATTTGATACGCCATCCCCAAATCAGACTTCTTGTATCTTCACAGATACAATGCAGATGAATTCATAGTTTACACATGTAGATATTGTGGATTAGCATTATAGATGGAAAACCATGTAGAAAAAAGAAATCATGTACCACTTCAAAAGATTCTCTCCTTATGTATCCAAGACTGGCCTCAAACATGAAGCACTCCTGCCTCTGCTTCTCAAGCACTGGAATTATAGGCATGTGACATCATGCCAAATTTCTCATTCTCCTGTAAATAAACAGTGCTTTGTGTTAGGTATGAATGAATACAAAGATTACAAATCAGAGTAATACTACATTAACTTTTATGGTTGGGCAAATGGATTTCATACCATCTTCAGATATTGAGCTCACCCTTATCAAATAAAACAGTGCTTAGTAATCTCAAGGTATATGTTTCTAACATTTAGTATACCTGCCTTATGTTTGTGGATTCTGTAGAAGCACCGAGTTTGAATGAATAGCTCTTCTTGTACATTTTCACAAACACCTAGATGATATTAACATCTTCCTTGATGGACTAACAGAGTAGCAACAGAAGATACCACCACCAAAAGACAGATTTGAGAATATGTATAGATAAAATCACTCATCATATTGGGTAGGATATTCCTCATTTTTTGCTGAGACCCCACAGGAGAAAGTATAGTAACCAATTGTTCCATACTACAGCAATGAACTCCATCTCTCAGAGCTGCTCTTGCATTAAAATGGTGTGATCTTGAGAGAAAATTACATAATGAGTAATTGTAATGAACCCATTCATATGAAAGCGGTTATATGATGAACATGAAACAAATACTTGTACAGTGTGGTGAAGTCTGTGGAGACAGAGAAAAGAAGAATGCTACCATACCTGGAAAACTATCCTACAACTCACTGGAAATTCATGTGGATTGATAGCAAGACACTAGCCTGCTTTCCTGAATGTACCCAGCACTGCTGAGGCTGAGTCACAGTTTCTTATTCAAGATCATGCTCACCTTTATTTTACTTGCAGGCAAAGGAACTGCTGGTCTCTATACTTATCATTTATCTGCCCCATCACTACTCATATTCCCCTATGACCATTCCTGAGCCTTAGGGTCCCTTCATCCCTTAGGAGTTCAGATCCTGTATAACTCATTAAAGACATAGTAGTTACCCAGAACCTTTATAGAACCAATTTACTGCAGGGATTTCCAGTGGAGACCAATTATTATCAACAATTACTCCTTCCTACACATAAATGAGCATAAAATTTAAAGAACAACAATAAACAAAACACCTAACCAAATAGCTGCAATGGAAAGACCCAAAGCCTAGAAAGATGCTAACTCTTGCCTGTTCAGGTGATGGACAAGGGTTCTGGTTGCCTGGTTGCCTGGAGCCACTTTCCTAGGGGTAAAGTGAAGAAGGGTGACCCCAAATTATAGGGAATTATTATGATTGTTGATGATGTAAAGTGTCTTACACAACATAAATTTACACAAGAAGCCATCAGTAGTTTGTTTTTGGAGGGGTTGTTGGTAAACCTAACCTTTAAAGGCTGAACAATCTCTTAAGCCCATCCAACAGTAGCTTTTTTGTTGTTGTTTTACACTTTTTATTTTTAAATTTAAATAAGAAACAAGGTTGCTGCACATGTCAATCCCAGGTCCCTCTCCTTTTCCCTCTCCTCCTCCCACTAACTCCCTACCCCCCACCTTGGTACCCACTCCTTTCCCCAGGGAGGGTAAGGCCCTCCCTGAGGGGTGTCCATAGTCTGTCATTTCATCCAGGGCAGTACCTAGAACCTCCCCCAAGAGTCTAGGCTGAGAATGCATCCCTGTTGGTGGTATAGTGGTGAGCACAGCTGCCTTCCAACAGTAGTTTTTAAGCAGATTGAGACTTTAGAAAACCACACACATTGGGAAGGCTTTCAAGGACAGTATCTCAAAAGATACACAACCTTTGAGAAAAATTTAAACTTCTTCAGCCAAATTTATAGGTGTACCAATATGTGAAAAGTTGTGAATACGTCAAGCAGATGGCATTTTAATGCTTCTGTAAGTCAATAGAAAAACAATCCACATTCCTATATATGTTCACTCATTTTGTCTTCTTATTTCTCTATGAAAACCTTAATTATACCTACTAAGACCAATGCCCCAACCCCTCTCCTTATATGTGAGATTATTTCCTAATTCCATATTCTATATATTTAACCATTGATCAAGAGTCTGTAGGTGGCATTTATTGATGGGAGATGTCATTCTATAAATCTGTCTCTCTTATTGGTTGTTGAATAAAGCACTGTTAGCTAATAGGGAAGCAAGATGAGACTAGGAGTCAAGGAGAATTCTGGGAAAGAGAGGCAGAGTCAGACACCATATAGGCCGCCAAAGGAGTAAGAGGTCCGGACCCTTTTCTCTGGTAAGAGAAATACTTAGATTAACAATTATGGCTTAAATGCTTAAGTCAGAGCTAGTCAGTAAGAAACCAAGCAAATGACCAACAGCTTCATAATTAATATAGTGTCCTGTGTGTTATTTGGGGGTTCAGACATTATGGCAGGGCCCAGGAAACTGGTAGGGAAAACTGCAGTCTACAATTTGTAATTCCATTCTTCAGAATAATTTCATGAACTGACAGCCATCAATTGGATGTAATTCTGTCTGTGATAATGATACAGAAAATATCAACTCCAGGGAATTTTGATCCTTATAAGTCTAACCATTACAGGGATCTTACAGTTGACTTTTGTTTTTGAATGTGGAATTGGGATCCAAGGATAGATCCAGGATTTTAGACTCTGTG